TCTTTATCGATAGCATAGAAGAAATGTGATACGTGAATATTCATTACTGTCATCATTATATTGTTCCAAACACCAGAACATAATATTCTTCGATGCTATCGATAAAGAGCCATTGCTCGAAACGTCTAGCTATTTTTAATAGTTATTTAGGACTAGGTTTACCAAATATTATCTTCTATATATCATTATGCGAATAGAACAAGTTGGGTCAAACCAATAGTGAGGAAATCGGACATGTTGAATATAAATAGAAATCCCTATACAATTGCCTTTCAATTTATTTCATTCAATCGTGTATATTGCTATATAATAAATGGGAAAGTTATCAAAATAAAATGTATGTACTTCCACAGTCTGTAATGTTAGGACATAGTAGCTATGTCGTAACGTTCGTAAATGTGCACACACTCGTAAAATGGTTTGAACTAAAAAGCTTTCGCGACATGCATTGCGAAGCAGTCAGCAACTTAGCTGGCAATGTTGATGTTATGGTGTTTGGAACAATATAGCGATGAATATTCATATTACATATCAAATATTTCTCAACATCATCTCAAGAAGTACAATGTTTATAAGGTTTAACTGACGCATTGTTTTTTTGGTTTTCATATTGCTTTTTTTTACCCACTTTTACTGTATCCAGTTTTGTTTTTATGTGTTTCCATTTTTTCCTAGCTTTTCCCCCTCCATTGTTTTTGTTGTTTACTCAGTACAAATCTGACTTATGAGAACATTGTTTACTCAGTACAAATCTGACTTGTGAGAACATTGTTTACTCAGTACAAATCTGACTTATGAGAACATTGTTTACTCAGTACAAATCTGACTTATGAGAACATTGTTTACTCAGTACAAATCTGACTTGTGAGAACATTGTTTACTCAGTACAAATCTGACTTATGAGAACATTGTTTACTCAGTACAAATCTGACTTATGAGAACATTGTTTACTCAGTACAAATCTGATTTATGAGAAAAATTTTTTCACAGTACAAATCTGACTTATGAGAACATTGTTTACTCAGTACAAATCTGACTTATGAGAACATTGTTTACTCAGTACAAATCTGACTTATGAGAAAATTTTTTTCACAGGAAAAATAAAGCACATTTGAAAGAATACAAGCACACTAAGAATCCAACCGTTGGCAGGCCAAAACGGAAAGCTGCTGAAAGTTAGTAATTGTCGTTATTTTATTTTTTTAAATTTGGAACAATTTGCATACTTCCCTGGTCACTAGCCAACATGTCAAATCAGGGAGAGTAAGGGTGGGCGTACACCCGAGGATCACCCATGGTAACCATGTTTTTGGGAAAAAAAATGGAATTGCATTGATGAGTTGCATCATTGATTTCTACTATGTTTTTACAAAGAGAAACAAAAATGTTCACACAAAATATGCACATTTTATTACAGTATTATTCGCATACCATCAGAATTTATGGTGTAAGAATTACTATGCTCTGTTGATGCATAGTAATTTCCGACATGCAGGTTTTCCGAATGATTTTTTTAAAATTTCGCAATTTTTGAAAAGTAAACTGAGCATGAAATAAGAATTTAACACCTTTCATCTGCCAAAACATATTTACCTGTTCACACCTCATTCGGAATACCTGTAGTCTCTTATTGGACGCTGATCATTCAGATAGGTGAAGGACATGTGAACAAACTTCAGCTATGTGGCTTGATAAATCGGCTGTATTTTGTGAATTTTGTAAGTTATGAAATCTTCTATGTTGGCATTTCAACTATGTCCGAAACCAGTTTTCAGTTCAAGTCTATTGAATTATATGAAGGGACATTTTTTTTAACTGTCATGTATGTTTCATACCACTGCAGAGAAAAGTGTTCTGGATGGTGCTAGCGACGATGAGAGCCAACCCAATACTTATAACTATGACGACAGTTTTATAGATGATGAAGGTCTTCTTGTTGAAGAAGGCGGTGACGAATCCTCTTCCTCGTATGAACAGGATGCCGACTCAGACTGGGAACCGGATACTTTAGAAAAAGATCAAGTTAAAGATTTAGTTAAAGAGGCTAGAGGCTTTGTCAAAAATAAAAAAATGCAGAAGAAAGTTTGAGATTATTGCATAAACCATGAGCAAAACCATTTATTGACAACTCCCCAAAACCTTGGTTGTGGTGATGTTACATGAAAAGGTCACATGACGTAAAATATCTGTTTTAATTGGCCATATTATAAATAATTTCATGTGGATAGAAAATGAAATGTATTTCACAATATTTGAAAATGTTCTTCCACCTATTTCAGTGACTGATATATATATCAGGTGTTTCTTCTCGAATTCTGAATCCTGAATATTTAGAAAAGAATTTATCCCATCAACATTTTTAATGGACAGATGACTTTTTTTGTTAAATTTTAATTCTTGGCCGTCTGATGTTGCATAGGATTGAATGAAACTACATAGTACTGGTGAGATGATCTAGTTTTGGTATTTTTATGACGCTGTATTTTTTATGTATTCTACTATGTCGTGTGTCATATTAACAATGTAATACTTTCTCTTGTCTATTCCTCATAGTACCTTCATAAATCAATCCACTTTTAGGAATGTGATAATGATTTGTTTTAGATCATGTATAGCTTATATATTGTAGATAAGAATCTTGATAGAATTAGTGCCAAATAATTAATTAATAAGGTCCTATCAATGTTCTTGTAATGTCTTTTTTTTTCTGCAGTAAAACCTGATGTCAGTGGCATACATCTTTGTGCCAGATTTGTGGATGATACACATGCATATCTTTAATCATGTGACAAAAATTAGACATTGTATTTTGCTTTTATATGAATTGCTGCACATGTTTGGTAATAGTGTTTTTACCTTCGCCATTTTTAACAGTATTGTAACTTTTTAGTGTAAAGCTTTTTTGATCTTGCAAAAGTTAAAATGATCGTAGCGCCACGCCCTGTTCGATATGGGGCTCATAGCAATGTACACAAAGCGTGTAAAATACATTGTTTGTTTACTTGAAATTCGAACATTTGCTGGGCAACGACCTCTGTACTTTAATTTTGACATATATTTCAGTGTGACTATTATGCTACTATTATATTAAAGCCAGAACGCTTTTTAAGGTCGAGTATGTCTTGATTTGTTTACTTTGTAGCAATTGTGTATGGGTAGCTTTTAAAAAAATATATAGGTTAGATTGTATATAACCCGATATTAAACATTGTGATGTATTTCACTAGCCGATCAGTGTCGGTCACTCGGAACTTCGTTGTATCCTATTTCAAGCTGCATGTTCCAAGTTATATGATGATGTCTTAGATTATCCGTTCGTATTATGGTCACTTTGGGAGAATGATGTAGCTTTTATAAAACAGTATTTCAGTAAAAAAAAGCCTTTTTTTTTTTCAGCGCCTTGTCTTATTATAAACGTTTGCCATAGCCAGGCATATATTGTTACGGACAACTTCACAAATTAAAATGAGTATCAACAAACCTTGATGACTGTAGATTTCATTATTTTAAAATTTATTTTATTTGGTAACATTATCACAGGCCAAGATTTATATCAATAATCACAATATCACAAGTCTAAATTTCATTAATAAGTCACAATAACAACTCATTTAAATATATCACAATAATGCAGGTCAAGATTATATCTGTACTGATTATATTTCAGTGATG